TGTACAGCCATCCGTCAAACACTGAATGGTCTCCCTTTGACTAGATCAACAATAACATGAAGAATTGCTTAGCTGGTGCTACTGAGACCAAAGAAGACTTGTAAATTCTACACTGAGACCAAATCAGACATTAGCAATGGTGACAGAGAGTGGAGTCAATGCCCAAAGTTTTGGTCAATCTCTCGAAATTGAGAGGCTGACCGAAACGGGGGAATTGTAAAGTCAAACTAAAATTTGACCTGAGAAAGCCTGTGTACTCACATACTTGAGCTCTTACATACGAAACACAAGTAACTTAGTACATAAACAAATTGAAAACCTAACTTACAAGTGCGCTGGCAGCAACAGCTGAGTCTCAGCCAATCACAGCAGCCATGCTTCCACCACTCGCAGGCAGCCAACTGTTCAAATAAGGCCAACGCCAAACAAGCCAATCCAGCTGCTTCTGTACCTCGCTTCTGTTTTCCATATGTCACTATTCTTTTTCTGTCTATAAATCATAACCAAACAAGTGGAAGCGGCAGAATCCCTCTGAATCTGTTCTGATTCTAGGGGCTGCCTGATTCATGAATTTTTTTTTTATAGCTCAATTAAACTTTGTTAACTTTAATTTGTCTAAAGTTTTTCTTGTTATCAAGACTTAGAAGGAGTGCTCAATTGGGCATGGCAGAACAATCCATTCTTTTAAGAATTTATTCTAAAAAATCATGAGATTACATGAGATACATAAGAGATATCACAATAGGGATGCCCACTATAGTGGGGAGAGGGCAATGGAACTAACACTAAAAACCTATGTGCACATACACAGATGAGAAGATAAAAAAGAGATTTTAAAGGTATATATATAAAAAAATATTGACAGCGTTAGCTCGGGGTGGACTAATTTTAATGTTCCTCTTTTCATCTACCAGGAAACAGAACAATACAAAAAAGTGGATTGATTAACATCAGGTTACTTCAGGTTGCTTTCCCTGTAACAGAAAGCAGAGGGGGCTTCCTTATGCCAGCTGGAACTGTCCTGTTTGGGCATTTGCCTATCATTTCCATCTCCCAATTTCTCAGCAGGTCTGATAAACAGCTTAGTTTTGGTTTGGTGGTGTGGAACTTTAGCATGAGTGATTCCATTTTGGTTTGGTGTCTTCTGTTGGGGTCCAGTGCAGGAGCTCAATCCATTTGGGCCTCTCACAAACTTCATTTAACACTAAGTATTTTTTAGCAGTGGAAGCACTAAGGTGTTGACTTCCTCAGTGAGGGAAGGTATGACTCTTGAGGCAGAGGCCTGTTTCATGTTGATGGCTGTCTAACTCCCCCACCCCCACCTCGCAAGCTCATCACAAAGATGAAGAACTGATGGGTTGTCTCCTGCAGAAAATGAAAGCCAAGCGCTTTCATTTTCACACAGAAACTGCCAAGAAGAACCTTTCAGTCCACAGAAAATAAACCCGCCCCTCCCACGGATGCAGCCCTTTAAATGGAAAAGACCCACTGTGAACAAAATGTTCAGTTCAGCAGAGGCGGCCAGGTGTGTGGGGGGGGGGAAGGCTGCGCTGCCAGGTTGCTCAGGATGTGCCCTGCTTGAAAGGAGCCGGAGTAACCAGGCAGCTTACAGTGGGGAGCTGTGTCTCTGTGTCTGTCTCTCACATTTGAAACCACTGGCTTGCCTTGCCACCTGGTTTTGCTGTTTTCAGTAAGAAGGACCCCTTCCTGTTCCAATTTGTGAGTTGACCCCAAACATGTTTATTCAGACCAAGTCAAGAGTCTTGCAGCTTCAAAGGTTTCTTGGGAAGGACAACAGGCTGGAGCCTGGGCCTGGCTGGGAATGCAACATCCCAGCACCTGTCATATGCTACCCACCCCCATCAATGTAGAAACCCTCCCCATACCCCCCCCACCCCAACCCCTTTCACCTGAC